GGCGATACAAGTCTTACTTGAGCTCTATTGCCCATCAGATGGTGCTGTGATTGATTACATAGTAGGTAGTGGTTCTATAGTGGAGGCAGCACATGACTTTGGTAGGTTGGTGTTTGCTATTGAAGAACATCATTTCTTTAAACGCCGGTTCAGAGGATTTCCAACCTCAAGGAATTATGTTTATTAAAATTTCAATATATGTTTAATTCTATTTATATATCACAGTCACTTGGAGTTTCTAGAATTGGAGGCTTTGGAAGTCTCCCTGACTATGCAAAGCCATGGCTCAACATATGCAAAGTGAATCTTCCCCACAATACTAATATAGGAGGAAGCATAAAAGAAATCAATATGTTGATGATGAGGTAGAAGAAAGTTAATTGCATCCTTACATAAAATGAAAAGCTTGTTATATATTAGATGTTTGTGAAAGTGTTAAATGTCAGTAAAACTGTAAGATGTCAGTGAAAGTGTCAGATGTCAGTGTCAATGTCAGATATCATAATTGCAAATTATCATTCTCACCTATCACCATCACTTTGTAGCACTTGTGTGTTGCCATCTCCTCCTTCAACATTTTGTAAACAGTTATATGTGATATGATAGCACTTTCTAGAACAAAGTATGTTACCTATAATTAATATCATTTTATTATATATTTTCTTTTAATAGTGGCAATACTATAGTATAGTAAAGTAATTCTAGATCTTACATTCCACTATAGGGTGGCCTAAAAACCCCATATTTTGCAATAGCCAATGCTTGTACCAGTTGCGAGGGAGCGCTTCGGCAACTAATTTCGTTGGATGAACTGGAATATATTTTGGGGACGGAACCATTTCATCCGCCGGAAGATATTTCCTCAAAAGGAAACTTCCAAGGAGCTCAAGAAGAACAAAAAAACTATGATGACTATAACTTTTCTAAATAGTTTATATACTAAGTTTTAGTCTTGGGAATGAGGTTTATTTATTATGACACTGATAATACTCAAAATACTCAAATTCTTTAAATATCAGTCTTGGAAATGGGGCTTTATAATCATAGCTTGCTTGTAAACATAAGAGCTTCTAAAATTTTAGATTATCATGTATACACATACTTTATCATTATGATGAAATCCTACTTTGCTACACATATATTCTTTTTTACACATGCTAAATGTCTAGGGAAATAGATTGTAAGGAAATATAGACCATATTTCAGTGGCAGAGCACATTGGCATGCTACCATTCTCTTATGTGAAATTGCTTTTCAGTCTTGGAAATGTAAATAAAGTTGATTCTTTGATATGATTTTACTTTTGAGTCTTTTGAAAGATTTCGATTTCTTTTATTATTATTCACAAACAACTCTCGAAAACTTTTAATGAGGATTCACTGCAAAAATATACCTTGGTCTTATTATATGAGAAGATTGCGATATAGGCAAGCAACAAAGCTTTTGATACGAATTAATATGTAAATTATAAATGTCATAAAAAGTTTTATGGAGTAAATTTCTTAATGCTTTCCGCCTTGCTATTCATTTCTTCATTTCTCTTGCTCTAAATTGTTGTTTTAGAAATAACAGAAGCATTTTTATCAAGTGGTCTCTACATTCCTAGATGGGTAATAAGGACCACGAGTGTAATATGGAAATTGTGGTAGTAAAACAAAATTAGCATTCTCAAATTCTTTTCCATTGCAACTTCTACTCATAGATCTTGTATTTTCCTTGCTTCCCATCTTCTCAAGAACCCTAAAAAATCTTCTGAATGAAGGAATAGTATCTACAGCTGTAAAATTATTCAAAATATTAAGTAGTCAAATCAAAATATAACAGCTATAGCAGTAGTCATAATAAAATAATATAACTTTATAAAAGATAGGTTTTTGTGAACTTTGCCTTTTTTAAACAATTTAATCTTATAAAAACTTTTAACTCAGATATTTACGTATTTAAATATTTTAAAGTTTGCTAGAACTTTCATTTGCTCAATTTAGATTTCCTTTGTAAGACTTCTAGTTGACTGTGTTGACTTGAGCAGACTTGTGTTGAATTGAGCTTAACTCGTGAGCTCAACTCAACTTTAGACCATCCCCGAGGGATTGATTCCACTTCAGTTTGTTCGACTTTGTTCGGTTCCGCCTCAGTCCCCACTAAAGGGGCAATGCCTTTTGCGCTACCAGCATATGCAGTCTTTTGCTTTTTCTTCCGCTTCTCATCATGTTTTAGCTTGCGTATGAGAGTTTTTAACAGGGAATTGGTTTGTGCCAGTTGTCCTTCTAGAACGTCCAATCAAGCCTTGGACAACTGAACCTTGCCACTAGACTCCTATTTAAAAGTTTCTTCACTAAAGTCTTCCTTATGTAAAGGATTCCTCATCCATAGATTCTTGTTCGACTGAAGGCTCCAGCTCTGGAGGAGGTTTTGTCTTCGCCTTGGTTCTTTTATGCCCTATCTTTGCCATCTCCCAGCAATCGGCCTTTATCCTTCACTAAAACTAAAGAAAAGGCTCTGATACCAAATTGTAAGTCATAAATTTTTCCTTTCCAATTTGCCAGCTTGCCTTGTCTATTTGACCAACACTGCCTTGCCCTTAGTTAAGTTTCATCGCTAAGGTTCTTGCCTATTGTACTAGCTCCTACTTGGTCCTATTTGATTTCAGCTATTCACTACATAAGCAACAAAGTGTTAGCAATCCATCTATGGATTCGCAAATCTCTCCCAATCTCCCTCCCTAGGTTAGACTGGACTTAAGATTCGGCTACAATCCCCATAAGCACAAGTAGCCAAGCACACCAAGCCTCCAAGTTCTTAACATCCCTTGGTATAACAAGACTTGATCATTGGACCTTTTAAATCCCAAACCTTGGGTGTAAGACTTGCTTCAGAGCACCAGTGGGAAACACCATAGCCTAATAGTCAAGTATGGGTACCTCTATTCCCCCATTTCCATCCCGAAAGGAAGGCACAAGCCCCTAAAAAGGGGTGAGGACCAATGAGTCGTAAGGTACTTAAGTGGGGCACCACTCCACCACCGCAATTGATTTCCCTTTTGGGAGTGGGAGTTACTCTTGAGCACTTTCTTGGGTAGCCCCTCTAGTACTACCCGAGTCTATACTCACTCCTACCTAAGGCCCCTAAACCCCAGTCTCAACCTCAAGTCAATTTAGAAACACCACTAGAAAATTCCTTTAAAATTAATTCCTAAACCCCACTATCTTTACTATACTTTTGGAACCCCCTGTACCCCCCTTGGGAGACACATGCTTTGGGCTTTCACCCCACAACATATATTAATATTTAGACTCGGTCTTGAACCCAATCTCAGATCTCGAACTTGGTTTCGAACTCGGTCTCAGAGTTGGCCTTCGACTTGATCCCGAACTCTATCTTGAACTCGGTCTCAAAGTCAGTCTTGGACTCGATGTTAAACTCAGTCCCATTCGATGAACTCTTTATCATTTTGGTCGTGCCTTTGGGGATCTTTTAGCCTACGACACCTCGAGAGTTGGTTCCTTACAATAGCTGGTCTGACTCTGTTAGTTGGCTAAGGGAATCATACCATATGCTGATTGACATTTGGCAAGTCTAGTTTGCTTTGGCTAAGCTCGACCCAAGGGGTAGGGTGTCAAAAGAGCAAGGCTCTTGGGAAAGTTATGGCTCTCAGCTTCCGTTCACGAGGATGTGAACTTGTGGAAAAGGATAGTGGATTGTAAGTAACCAAAGAGAACGACTTAAGAAACAATCCATGGAGTTCAAATATAGAAGAAAAAGCCCCATGAATAAGAGTGCACCCATTTTTTTAATTGATTAAGGATTTTAAGGTATTTGGGGTTAAGCATCCTTGGGTTTGAATAGGTTTGAATAGTATTGGGTTGGGTGATCTCCCAGGAAGTCCGAATTCAAGAACTTACACCTTGATGAAGATGATACATTTGTTAGAAAACATCATCGTTGATATGTTCAAATGCATATTTAAAGATGTTTAAGAGAATACTTTAATCCTCATGATTGACTACACTCAAACCATTGTACCATTGAAGTGTTGTCCCTTGGAAACACATGGGAAATTCATGCAAATACCAAATATCATCCCAAGAATAATATGTAATAATCACTGTAAAGTAATCGAACCAATAGTATATATCATCTCTAGGACTCCCACAAAACAACTCTGGCCAAACTTGAAGATTAGTAACAAGACCAAGAGAAGTTATACCACATGCTATGAATGCCACCATCAATTAAGTTTGATTGTTCAACAATAACTACATAGCATCAACTGCTACTCCAGAGTCAAAGACAGATGCAGCAAATGCAAGACTTTTGGGTGGGGCAGATGCAAGATATCTAGGAGATGATGGATTTCAAGATGCACAGCTTGCCCCTAGTGCACATCAAGAAGATCATGAAGGCAGACAAGGACATGAGGATGATCTCAAGTGAGGCACCTGTGCTCTTTGCCAAGGCATGCAAGATGTTCATCCTGGAGCTGACGCTGCACGCGAGATGCTCCAGAAGAATGACATTGCGGCGGCAGTCACTCGCACGGACATCTTTGATTTCCTGGTGGACATCGTGCCATGCAAGGATGCCAAGGACAAGGCGCTGGGTGTCTCATGATCCGTGCTGCCGATCAGAGCTCCAGACATGCTACTCTACATGATTCCTGGGGGAGTGATTGGAAGGCCGGCCATTCCAATGGATCCAGTGCTCTACACGCAGCAGCAGCGGCCGCCAATGCAGTACATGGCGTTGCCACAGCAGCAGCAGCAGCAGCAGTGGCAGCTGGATCAACAAACCCAAGCCCAGCAATTGCAGGCTCAAGGCCAGCAATCCACAGCTTCGGATGGTGAGCAGTGAAGCGACTCCACACCATCCATGCCGAGTTCCAATGGTGGTTCTCTCTTTTCTCGTGTTCTCATCGACGTTCTTTCTTCCATGCAGGTTGAGCAAGCGTCAAGTTCCAAAGGGTTCTAAGTTCTTTTGAAAGTAACAGGAGCTTGAGAAGATGATCACAACGAAAAACTTCTATCTGTTATGATCCAAAGTTCTAGCTCGTAGCGTTTAGTTTGCTTGCTCTCACGAGGAGATAAAAGCTTGCGGTTTTAGGGTTTATGGTACTTGGGGTAGGGTTTCGTCTTGGCGCAGCGAATCGACCGCGCCCTCCCGGCGGTCAGGAATCGAAATGTCTCCTGGTACATTTTTCTCCACAGCTTGTTCGCGATCGGCCTCTGCGCCAAGCGAGAGGTTAGAAATCTCTCGAGAATTTCTCGATTTCCTACCTCGTTTGGGTGGATCATCGCGTGCGGGACTTCCAGCTCGCGGCGATATGTGTAATGCAGGTGTGGCACTCCATCTGGGACAGTAGCGACGGGAGAATTTTTCCACATTGTTGAAGATCAAAGCATCCTACCGGAGGAGATGGATTTTAATCGTTGCGCGAATTTCTCCTGCGTTGGAAGGTCGGCCGAGTCTTCGTTTGCCGTGAAGAGTAGCAAGGTAGTGACTTTCTTTGGGAGATTATCTATGTTGGATTGGCTAACGCGAGTCCCACACAGGTCGATTGCCACAAGGCATCCCACTGTGAACTGGAGCGACGGCTCCCATCCGGTTTCTTTCACGTCCAGCGGGCCGATCGCCAGAGCAAATTCTCTCCTTGAATCATCCATGGTCTGGCCAGAAGATCGATCGATCATTAGTAAGTTTGTTCACGGTTCTTGTCTTTCGAAGGCTAAGTTTCGTCCTACCTTCAGGAGCGGGGCGTACGCTACGACTTTCGAGATTGTGTCTGGATAAGTGTTGGCGAGATGCAACGCAGTGGCACCTCCCATCGAGATGCCTATCGCGAAGATCGGGCCTGGCAGAGCATGCACATCTTCTAGTCGCTGCTCGGCTTCCGTGAAGTAGTCCAAGTGGCTCGAGTCGAAAAACCTGGCAGCCAAGTGGTTAGTTCATTTTGGAGGTGAAGAGCCGCGCTCACAGACCTCTGGAAATCCTGGCTACGATCACCTTGGTCGAGCGCAGCGATTATATCAGACATTTCGGGGGAAAGGGAGCGAACTGGCTGCATGGTGTCTTGGGACAACAATCACGAAGAACACAGGCCAGCAGACTGTCAGCAGGATGAAAACGTTATAGCAGAAGACTTACAGAGGTATAGAGCTCCTTGGCTAGGACCGGATCCTTGAGGAAGTTTTGCCGGATCTTCTCTTTCAGTTCCGGCTTGAGATCAACCTGGGTGGAGATGAAAGTAAAGAGCGAACTTTAAGATGTGTCACCTACGGCCAGTTTAGAGTCGGATTTCCGAGATAGTGGCGAGCAAGGCAAGGCTGGTAGACATTGAAGCCATTGTCAAACAGGTAGTCCGCGAGCAACTGTGGAATTGCCCGAATCCGTGAAAGACGAGAGCGGTTCCATAGACGAGTTCTCCTGGCTCGTGCAGCGAGTAGCAAGGCTCGGCTGCGTCTCGTCTATGGGGATTCGAGTCGACGCTTTGGAGGAACTTGTCCATGGCTGTTGTTGCCTGGAATTCTCGCGGGAGGTGAGACTTGAGGATTCTAGAGTGTTGAGATTCTCACCTTGGCAATGTGATCTTTGGACAGGGTGTGACATCTTTGTATTTCAAGCTGATTTCGTGCTTCTGCGCTGCAAAACAAGGGGAAGAAGCGGGCTCGAGCATGATTGAAGTGATACTTGAGGTATGGACAAACACTTTCCTGTGCTGTGAAAATGAGTTTGTGGGATTTCAACAGGCCAGCTGGATAGCATGTTCGGTTCTCAGGTACCAAGTACTACAAAGATGGTTACACATTGTTTGTATTTTGAGGGGCCATGGAATATTCTCGGAATATAGGTTTATACAAATTTGAGAAAGCTTTATACATAGCCACCTTTTGTAAACTTTAAAATGAAAAGGGTATAAAAGGGAGCCCTTGTTGGTTGAGGTTAGGGCATAAGATGGGCGGAGGTGCGATGGCGACGGAGCCCCGGCGACGAGCAGCATGGCGGACGCCATTTGCGGGTACGCGAAGAGGTTCCAGGCGCTGGACGGCGATGCCAAAGCATGGGCGCTGGACGTGTACGCGCAGTGCGACGCCATGGCCGACTTCCTGTTCCAGGTGAACAAGCTGGAGCTGGAACGGGATGAAACACTCCACGCCCTGGAGCAGCTCCAAGTGGACTTGGACGACAAAGTGGTGGCTCCGGACGAGAGATTGGAACAAGTCCGCTGCCTGTCCCGAGCATTCAACAAGACATGGTGGCTCTAGGATCAGGAGGAGGCTCCCAGCGTCAACAACGACAAGCTCAGGTGGAGTCGGGCAGGCCGGACATCGCAGGCTTCGAGCAGCGGAAGGCAGCACTTCTACGCGGATGCCTGGGCAATCCGGCCGAAGCTGTCCAAGTTGGTGAGCAAGACCAACGCGGATCTGCAGCGGACGACAATCAGCTGCAAGACGGTGGAGCAGCTCCTGGTGCTGGCCTCGGAATTCTTCTACAAGTTTGAGTGCGTCCATCCGTTTGTGGATGGGAATGGGCGATGCAGGAGGATGATGCTGGCCTACTTGGATCGCAGCGTGGCTGTGTTTCCCAATGTCTTGTTTGCTGCCGCTGCTTCTGGCCGCCACCACGAGTTTGTGGACCGGGATGTCTACCTCAAGTGCTTCGAGAGTGCTCGCGAGGATGACGACGAGCCCAGGGACCTGACTGCTCTTATCATCGAGGGGGTCTACTTCGGTTGACAGAGGTTTTTTGCGGCCCTTGAGTCGTGGCAGGACAGTAATGAGTAGCTACCTACGTACTCAGCTCTCGTCATTTGAGCTCAAAATTTTTACTGTAGAGAAAGAACAACAATAGGACGTTTGCCTGTCTTTGAGAGCGACGAGCTTTCAGATCAAATGCCGGAGCTGCTCGGTTTTCTCCATCATTTAAGCTTGCTTTGTGACGTCTGCCAATGTTGCAAGAGAAGTGAGAGGGAAAATCTGTCTCTACATCGTCACCTGCTCAAGGTGGCGCCACAGAGGCTCTCGGCATACCGAATCGTTTCCAGCGACCAGAAGGCTACTCCAAAGAAACTCGCCACAATTAGTGTGACAAAAGAAGCTTTGTCATTGAAAATCCAAGAAATGAGTTTAAGCAGAGATTCTTGGGCAACACAGTGCTCAGGGCCAGCGACCAGGGCTTGCCAAGCATGCTGCCGGCTTAGAGTGTACCACTCAATGGGAATAAGCATTGACAAATCTTAGCAAAGCTACAAAGCGGTCCAACACATGGGTGGACGAGGGAACTCAAGGTCACCCTTATTTTAAGTTGCATCAAGAATGAACCACTCCTTTAACTTTACATTGACAACCTTAGAGTTCCTATGTAATCAACTCTTGAGCATACTAGAACCAAGAGTATAAATTGCCCAGCAAACCCTGGGCAGTTGACAAAAGCAAATCTATTGTGCACCCATTGACACCAAGGTCAAATTTGCATCACAAGAGTCCCCAGACAACTTGCCAATGGTGTGGCAACGGGCTTTGGAGATCAAGGCTCAGAATTTTTCTTGTTGACAGCTTGACTGTGCTGCTTGACAGAAGCTAAAGTCAAAGTCTTTCACCTTTATAAAGGCCATTTTGCAGGATCAACAATGGTGGTTTTTATTGGCCTGTTATTTTCAAGGCCATAGAGGCATATGCTAACAGTTCAATCCTTGAAGCAACATTTTCCCTTTCAGTTCATTACCTTTTCAAGTCCATTTTACACTTGCCCATTATCTCTAGCATCTTTACGTAGCCACTATTACTTGTTGGCAATAAATTTCTTCACTATGTGGGTGGAGGCTGTGGCTCTCAAGACAACAGATTAGCATTTTACAGCAAAGTTCTTGTATAATCACATCGTGTGCTAATTTAGTATTCCCACAACTTTAATCTGCAGAAGTGTCTGTGCTTAAAACATTGTATCATTGTAAAATTATCCTTTGTAAACATTTGGGAAATTTGTGCAAATGCCAAATATCATTTGAAGAATGATAGATAGTAATCATTGTAAAATGATCAAATTAATAATACAAATCATCCTTATAATCATCTCATAGAAGAAATTTAGAGAAACTCAAGGATTAGCAGTAAAAGTAAAAAGAATTATACTATACACCATAAATGTTACCATTAATTGAATGTGATTATTTAGTTTTGGTCATAGTATTAAGTAATTACACCAATTGCTAATGAGGGAAAGGCTGTTGTAAAGGATGAATATATTACTCTGCCATTAGGTGAACAAAAAGAAGGGGCATAAAAGAAAAAAAAAAGTAATACTGCATTGATTTCCAGAAAATTGAACAAGATATAGGAAAAAATTTTGTGGTCAATCTGGCATGTAGTCCCATTGTTAAGCTCAATGAGAAAAGAACCAACACCTTTAGCCTCATAGATAGGCTAGATAGCCTCCTAGGACGAAGCAAAGAACAATTAGACAAGATCCCGCCCAACCATGGAAGTGAAGACGCCATTGGAGGCGATGGAAGATGACAGCGACGCAAAAAATGCGTCTCATGCTTCAGGATGGGCACTCAAAATAGCATATAGATAGATAGATCATTTTTGCTAGCAGTCCGACTTGTATTCTCTGGAGCCCTGCGCGCTGCTCAGATAATACATAATTTGGTATAGCACCAAAATCTTTATTACATAGTTTAGCATAGCACCAAATCTTTATTACATAGTCTGGCATAGCACCATAGTTTGGCAACTCCTTAAATGATGCTAAATGCCCCCATGGGGGTGGTCTGAACAGAACTGGATGGGCACGTCGAATAGATAACACCGATGCCTTTCATATATGACTTGGGGCTTGCATATCCAAAGAACGAGACTATGTTGCCTGGTGCTGTTTCGAAGGAAGTGCCACTCGTCGAAGTACCAAATGGACCATATGGTTTGGTTTTACCAGTTTTCATGTTCTTGACATGCACAGTCAGCGAAACAACACCTTCTCCCGCCCAACCAGCACCGCATGTTTTGTCTGTTCCAGTTGTACCCGATACCTTGTAAATGTACTCATCCGAGCCCAAAGAGATCTGCAGAAAGAAATTGAGAAAGTAAGAAAAACGTTAACTTAAAAAGACCTCGTAGGATGTGCTTCTCAGACCAGCTTGCGGAGGCGGCTGTGGTAAACATCCTGAACAGGAGTTCGTTCCATACATTTGAGTCCAAGAAGAACCCGAAGACTTCCACTGAATGGCATCAACCACACAACCGCTGATTATGCGTAGCCCCTCCAGTGGCGTACTCGTAAGACTTCCACTGAAGGCAGTACCATCAGCACTAGTACCATATAAAGGAGACTTGCATGGTGGAGGCGGTGGAGGAGGCGACGAACACCATGGGGCTTTGTTGCCACAGTCTCCCCATGAACTACAGCAGGGGTATGCCTCCGGGCAGTCAGCGTCGGATGAACATGAACCAGGAGGAGGGGGTGATGCTGGTGCTGCGGAAACCAGCAAACACAATGCAAAGAGCGATAGAGCACGAAGAAGCATGGTTCCAATGACTTCTCGATGTTGGCAAGTCACAGCAATTCTTGCATACATTTATAGGCCTGTCAAGCATGTGAGAGAAAAACACGTGCTTTAAAATCAAGAGCGCCTGATTGGTTATCTCTGTCAAAACACGTGCTTTCAGTCCGGCCATGTGATCTGGGCCCACCATTTTAAAGCCGTGCGGACCACCGAGGCAACGCCAAAGCATAGAATTGTAAGTGAAGGACATCAACGACCACGACCAGCACGTGAATGGCAGAGATGAGGAGAGGCTTCGACCCTAGTAAGTCGTCCACCATCTTATGATACTTGATGTTCAATTGTAAAATAGTGTATGTACTAAACGGAAGTAGAGGCAGCGAGTTGGAAGTGAGTGTATCTAAAACAGGAGCCAAGCAAAAGCATCGGTTTTTCTTTAAGTGGTTTCTTCTTGATCGATTGCGAGCTCTCAATCAAAACAGTGTGGTGCTTTTTGTGTCACACACTCACAGCAAGGCCGTTGGCCATTTCCAAATGGTGCAAAGCTGAATCCATTGAGCTTTCCATTGTGAGTTTATTGTTTTGGTTCCATGCAGACTCAGGGGCTCATTGTGTCCCACCGGATGATCTGAGCTTTTAGCGTGTATGGATTAACAAACTTAAGTTTCTCAAGCAAAGCCATCTCAAAAGTCTCCCTGGAGCTTTCCTCCCACCGGGTTGGCACTCGGGGTTGCTTATGCCAGGCAGCTGCAAAAGTGAGGCCAGAAAAACAAATAAATAAACAAATTTTCTGTGATCCCATCCACAATGTTTTGCATGACAGTCAAGGTTCTTCTCATTTCCTTGGTTAAAACGGCCATGAGATGGGTGTCTGGCACTTCAAGAAGTCCCAAAGAAGGCCATCCTCTTGAAACAGGTGACTGACAATCACCACTACATCCTCCAGATTTGGTGTCTTCTTAGAGAGAGCCACCTTTAGCTACAATGGACAAACTGTGAGAAACACAAGATCACTACGTCTGTGATGGGGTTGGGTAGTTTTTGAGTTGAGCTCACGAGCTGAGCTTAAGTCAATGAAAGTCAATATAATCCACCAAATACAAAAGTTGATGTTTAAATGATTGGTTCGGGACGAACCAACAATTCTATTCAAAACCTAAGACATATTTTCAGTCCAAGAAAAAGTTAAATAATATAAGTCTAATAAGAAAATAAATATCATAAGTCAAAAAAGAA